ATTACATTTTTCAGTTACTTGATGATACCTTTGAAAGGTTCAAGAAAACCAGAAGTCAAGAACTTAGCTTAAATTTTCCTGGGTCGTTTGTATCCCTAGGTTCTGGCAGAAGTGAACATAACTCCCCTGTGGAGGAGTCCCTTTTAACCAGGCCTGAAAGATTCTTACAGATAGAATTCCAAGGAATATTGATTCTTCAGTCAAACTTCACAAAAATACGGGGGCTGGCCCCATGGCCGAGTGGTTGAGTTCGCGCGCTCTGCTCCAGGCGGCCCAGTGTTTCGTTGGTTCGAATCCTGGGCGCGGACGTGGCACTGCTCATCAAGCCGCGCTGGGGCGGCGTCCCACATGCCACAACTAGAAGGACCCACAACGAAGAATATACAACTATGTACCAGGGGGCTTTGGGGAGAAAAAGGAAAAAAATAAAAAAATAAAAATAAATAAAAAAAAACTTCACAAAAATACATAAGGAAACAAGGCTGTGTGAGTGGGAGTTAACAAAAACATAGCAGAATCAGATATGCAAGAGACTCAGTTTTTAGTATATCTCATCTAAGACAAAATAGTTATGTTTACTATATTTAAAGACTAAAAGACAGACTTGAAAATATGCTAAGGATCATGAGACTTTTTAAAAAAGATCAAGCATATTTGGCAAAAAACAAATTGGAACATTAGGAATTAAAAATAGTCACTTAATGCACTGGTTGGCATTTAATATATTAGACATAGATGAAGAGAGATTTTATGGGCTAGAAGACAGATCAAAGGAGTTACTCAGAATGTAACACAGAGAGATATAGAAATGCAAAATAATAGCATGCAGGGTGCTATTATATATTATAATAAAACAACATCTAATAATATAATAGCTAATATTATAATGTAATAAAATGAGGAGGTCTAACATGCATCTTAATGGAATCCCAGAGCAGAGGGGTCAAAATCAGAGAATGGGGCAGAGACAATATTTGAAAAGATAGAAGCTAATAACACTCCAAAACTGGTGAAAGATATCAATCTTCAGATTTAGGAAGCCCAAAAAATTCCAAAAAGAATAAACAGAAAGAAATCCACATTAGACTTATAATAGCAAATCTACACAACACCAAAAAACAATGAAATATTTCAAAAGATTGCCTCAAAATCATAACAGAGTTACAGCTGACTTGTCAATAACAACAGTGGAGCCAGAAGGCAGTGACATAGTATCTTCAAAGTGGTAAGAAAATATGTGTCAACGCAGAATTCCATATACAGCAAAAATTTCAAGAATACGGGCAAATAAAGTTATTTTTAGATATGCAAAACCTGCAAGTTCTTTTCAGGTATACAAAACCAAGAGACTCTCTTAAAGGAAATTCAAAATGATGTATTTCAGGCAGAAGGAAAATGATTCCAGATAGAAGACCTGAGCTGCAAGAAGGAATGATGAAAGTGGTTCATATGAGAAGAAATAGTATAAATTCTAAATTCGTGGAGACTTAAAAAGGAATAAAAATATTCAGTCAACCCAAAAGAAAGTAAAAGAGAAGAAAAAGAAAAACAAAGAGCACACATAAGATGGTAGAATAAATGCAGATATGTCAGTCACTATAATATGAGTAAATTAACAAAATCCATTTGTTAAAAAGCAAAGCTTAGGGGCCAGCCTGGTGGTGTAGTGGTTAAGTTTGTATTTTGTATTGCTCTGCTTTGGCAGCCTGGAGTTCATGGGTTCAGATCCCAGGCACAGACCTACACACGGCTCATCAAGCCATGCTGTGGTGGCATCCCATATACACAAAATAGAGGAAAATTGGCAACAGATATTAGCTCAGGGCCAATCTTCCTCACCAAAAAGAAAAAAAAAGAGCAAAGTTTATTAAATTGATTGGAAAGATAAGCTAGCTTAAAAGAAATCTAAATACAGTATTGTGATTTACATGAAAAATACTAAGGGTAGAGAAAGGTTTAAAAAAAAAAAAGGATGACATAACTACAAATATCATTAGAATAGATTTTAAGGCAAAAGGTGTTACTGGAGATAGAGGGTCACTAGATCATGGTAAAAGGTTCATTTCACCAGAAAATATGACAGTTCTAAAGTTGTATGCCCGTAATAACATAGATGAAAATTATATAAAGTAAAAAACAGACAAAAACCCAAGGATAAAAAGAAAGATCTATCATCAGAGTTGGAGATTCAAATATACTTCTCTTAGTCATTCACTTATCAAATAGCCCAGAGTTCACCAAACTTTGTCTTAAAAAGGGCCATATAGTAAATATTTTAGACTTTGCAGGGCACATATGCTCTCTGTTGCATATTTGTCTTTGCATCATTTCTAGTTCACTGGGCTGTATGGCAGAGGCTATGGGCCAGCTTTGGCCCATGGGCTGTAGTGTGCTGATTGTTGAAATAGACAGTAATAATCAGGAAGGGTGTAAATGATTTGAGCAACAGAATTAAGAAGTTGATGTTGACCACAGACTATATACAGTGGATACTCTTCTCAAGTACACCTGGAACATTTATGAAAATAAGTCACATACTGTACCATAGAGCAAATATCAATAAAATTTTAAAGATTATCTTATAATCAATCAACATTATCCAATCAAGTAATAAAATTAGTACAGCCACTTTTAACAATAATTTGGCATCTCTTCATAAATTGAACATGTGATTCCTTTATGACCCAGCAATTCCACTGCTAGTTGTATAGCCTAGAAGGACTTTTATGACCAGTGGACATGCATAAGAGTGATCACAGTAGTACTATTCATGATAGTCGGAACTGGAGACAATACAAATATCCATCATGCACACAATGAATGAATAAATAGTGCTTATTCATAAATGGGATACTCTAAGAAAGTGAAATTGGATTTAAAACTGCTTCACATGGCAGTATGGAATCTTAACATAGTGTTAGGAGAATAAAGCAAGCCACAGAAAAATAAATATAATTATATGAAGTTCAAAACATGCAAAGCTATATAATATATTGTTTAGAGCTATAAATATTTGTGACACAATTATAAAGAAAAGCAAAGGAAAGATATACACATATTCAGAATATCATTATACGGAAGACCCTAAAGAATCCAACAAAAAACATTTTAGAACTAATTTACAAATTCACTAAAGTTGCTCAATACAAAGTCAACATAGAAAAATCAGTTGCATTTCTATACACTAACAACAAACTATCTGAAAAAGAAATTTAAAAAAATCCCATTTACAGTGGCATCCAACAATAGCATATTTAGGAATACATTTAAACGAGGAGGTGGAAGATCTGTACACTGAAGATTCTAGGACATTGATGAAAGAAATGGAAGAAGACAGAAATTAATGGAAAGATATCCTGTTCGTAGATTGGAAGACTTAATAGATTGTTAAAATGTCCATCCTACCCAAGGCAACCTATAGATTCAGCATAATCCCTATCAAAATTTCAATGGCATTTTTCACAGAAATAGAAAAAACAATCCTAAAATATGTATGGAACTACAAAAGACCCTGAAAAGCCAAAACAATCTTGAAAAAGAACAAAGCTGGAGGCATCACACTTCCTGATTTCAAACTATATTATGAAGCAATGATAATCAAAACAGTATGGAATTGGCATAAAATAGATTATGGACCAATGGAACAGAATTGAGAATTCAGAAATAAACCCACACATATATGGTCAACTAATATTTGACAAAGGAACCAAGAATAGTCAATGGGAAAAGCACAGTCTCTTCAATAAATGGTGTTGAGAAAACTGGATATTCACATGCAAAGAATGAAATAGGCCCCTTATATTATACTGCTTACAAAAATTAAGTCAAAATAGATTAAAGACTTAAATGTGTAAGACCTGAAACCATGAAACTCCTAGAAGAAAACATAGGCAGTAAGTTCCTTCACTTCGGTCTTGGTTTTTTGGATTTGACACCAAAAGCACAAGCAACAGAAACAAAAATAAACAAGTAGGACTACGTCAAACTAAAAAGCTTCTGCACAGCAAAAGAAACCATCATCCAAATGAAAAAGTATCCTAGAGAGTGGGAGAAGATATTTGCAAGTCATATATCTCATAAGGGGTTAATATCCAAAATATATAAGGAACTCATACAACTCAATAGCAAAAAAAACAAATAATCCAATTAAAATATGGACAGAGGACCTGAAAAGACATTTTTCCAAAGAAGACATACAAATGGCCAACAGGTACGTGAAAAGGTGCTTAGCATCACTATTCATCAGGGAAATGCAAATCAAACCCACAATGAGAGGGGCTGGCCCTGTAACATAGTGGTTAAAATTTGTTGCGCTCCAGTGGCCTGAGTTTGTGGGTTCAGATCCCGGGCACAGGCCTACACCACTCATCAGTCATGCTGTGGCAGCAACCCACATGTAAAGTAGAGGAAGACTGGCACAGATGTTAGCTCAGGGCTAATCTTCCTCAGCAAAAAAAAAAAGAGAGAGAAAAAACCCACAATGACATATCACATCATACCTGTAGAATGGCTGTTATCAAAAAGACAAGAGATAACAAGTGTTGGTGAGAATGTGGGGAAAAGGGAACCTTTGTACACTGTGGTGGGAATGTAAATTGGTGCAGCCACTATGGAAAACAGTATGGAGGTTCCTCAAAAATTTTAAAAAAGAACTGCCTTGTGATCCAGCAATCCCACTTCTGGGTATTTATCTAAAGGAAATGAAATCAGTTTCTGAAGAGATATCTGCACCTCCATGTTCATTGCAGCATTATTTACAATGGCCAAGATATGGAAAAAACCCATTGTCTACTGACAGAGGAATGGAGGAATGGATAAAGAAAATGTGACATATATATATATACACACACATACACACACAGAATAGAATATTATTCAGCGATAAAAAAAGAAGGAAATGCTGCCATATGCAACAACATGGATGAACCTTGAGGCTATTACACTAAGTGAAATAAGTCAGACAGAGAAAGACAAATACTGTATGATCTCACTTACATGTGGAATCTAAAAAAACTGAACTCATAAAAACAAAGAGTAGATTGGTGGTTGCCAAGAGGTGGTGGAAATGGGGAGATGGATGTTTTGCAAACAAAAAGGATAGCATTTACTTCCTAGTGAGGGAGGGAAAGGAATATGTTGTGGGAGGACACAAAGTAAACTTGAGAGTTCCTAGTGATGCTCTCTTCCAAAACTGAGTGGTGAAATACTTGAGTGGTGCTTGTTATGTTATATTCTTTATGTCTTACACATATTTTAATATATTATCTCCTCATTGTTTAAGAAATGAAATAAAATATACAGCAAGGATGGACACTTTTTTGCGGCATTTTACTATACAGGAGAACAGAGCAATAAAGCGTTAGGACGAGGGAGATAAAAGCTTTTTTTTTAAATAGGAGATGTTACATCATGTTGGATACTAATAGGAGTGATGTAGTAAATAGATGAAAAGTTATAATGAGAACGAAGGGGTAGTTTCAAGGACAAAGTTCTTGAGAAGTGTTGCGGCGTACAAATGGTTTGACCCCAGAGAGAGTTCATCCAACTTAATGAGGGGTGGGGAAGAGTATATGGCACAGTTGCAGGTAGGTTGGTAGATTTGTTGAAAGGAAGTGAAGATGATCTCTAGAGATTCTTAGCCATAAATTTAAAATGAAACTAGTCAACATGATTCTGTGCTTTCCTCCAACCCACGTCCGGCTGCTCAAGTGCATTCGGGTTTGCAGTTGGTATAAAATTGGGTTTAACTGGGGTTGGGATTTTACCAGGTAGATGAAAACCAGGTAGAAACAAGAAGGCAATGGAATTAAAGGTGTATGCAGTGAAATAATTACAGTGATGAAATACAGAATCAAAGTTGGACAAAGAAGGAAAAGACATGATGGTGACCTGGACAACAAAAAGTGGATTGGCCCTCTTTGTGGGGTCACTGAACTGCCAGAGTGCAGCTTCTAGGGGGTGAGGTAGATTGTTAGGAGATGGTAGTCAACATGCACAAAGCAGGAAGTAGAGCTCTGGGGTTAGTAGTTTTATTATTAACCTAAGGTCTAAGATGACCAGGGAAGCACATGGCTGTTGTGGGTTGAACAAAGAAGATTTTGGAGGGCATGGAACTGAAAGGATGGAGTGTATATTCATGGTTTTCAACTCTGGCTGCACAAAATCTGAGGAGATTTCAAAGAATATTGATGCCCAGGCCCTACTCCAGACTAATTAAATCGGGATCTCTGTGTGTGGTTTCTGGGGAATTGCTATTTTTTAAGAGCTCCCCATATGATTATAATGTGCATTCAGGGTTGAGAACCATAATCTACATGAATGTTGGCATTGCCAAGAATGATCATAGGAGACAGGGTGGAGAAAAGCATGGTGAACTGGGGGAGTATGAGAGGAAGGAGGGATGAATCAGGATCAGTGTCTCCTTGAAGGGCACTTAGCTCAAGTCATTGCATATAGTATGTGCACTCAATAAACAATAACTGCTACTAGTTTTGTATTATCATCATTATTATTACTAATAGTGGCAACAGCAGCAGCATTATCCTGGGAAGAGTCAGATCTTTTATTAAATTTTCAACATGTCCTTACCAAAGGTTAAAAACCACCAATTGTAGATGATCATCAGGGAGGGTTCCTAATAGAGTTTGGGGGAGAAAATCCCTAGATATTGGCAGTATTTTTCTTTTCTTTCTTTCTTTTTTTTTTTTTTTTTGGTGAGGAAGATTAGCCCTGAGCTGACATCTGCACTAGTCTTCCTCTATTTTGTACATGGGTCACCACCATGACAGGGCTTGGTGAGTGGTATAGGTCCTTGCCCGGGATCTGAACCCACAAACCCGGGTCACCAAAATTGTGAGTATTCTTAACTAACCTTCCAGAGTAATACTAAAGCAAGGAGGCGCTCCATCCTACCATGGCCTGATTTTGCAGTCTGTAGGCATCAGAAGCCTGCAAGAGTTGGATGCAACTCCTTGCCCTTGGGAGCCAAACAGTCTCCTAATAGACCTTATTTTCTCTCAACAAACCTAAAGGCTAAGACAACTGATGAGCATTTCCCCATTAATAAGAACCTAAAAGGCTGTTAGTTGTGTTTCAGCGTTCCTGTCACCAGAGTGGGAATGGGGAAAGGAGACAGACATTAAACATATAAGACTCTAATATTTTATGTTTTCAAGTTACTTTGTGAGCCTCTTTTACTCTTGCTCCCTCCCCCACAAAGGAAGAGTGTTATTAATCAGGGTAACAGTACTGTTTAAAGATAATGTGTATTTCTAGGTAGTTTAGTGACTCTTCAAGATGTGGTCTCACTAAAGAATGCAAGGAATTCTACGAGGTAGAAACTGACAATGTAACATAATCTTATTTTTGTGTTATTGCATACAAAAGCATGTTTTCATGTAGATTCTCTGGATCACTGGGAAGGCTGGCAGACAAACATCTTAGAAAAGATACTATCAAAGAAAGAATTGGGAAATATTACCATTTGGAACATTCCAGATTCTATTCTAGTCTTAAGAGAATGAAATACATTTCTCCCTTTATATCCACCAGATTTTAGTTTGCTATAAAGAAACGTAACCTCTTATGTTTTATTCCCAATCCTCTCTGTCCTCTATAATAGTTCTTGTCAGCTTGTATTACAAATGAATAAAAGAGCTAATTTAAAAACCTACCATCTTATACAGGAAGGCACACTTTTCTCCATGGCCCTGTATAAAACAAAAATAATGATGACAAGGCTAGATAATGACACCTTACAGTAAAGAACGTAATCTCTGTGCAGTCTCTCTGTTGGGTGTGTTAGGTAAGCAAGGACAATAAAGTAAACGAAAGGTTATGTTTTATAAACCAGTCATCTTTTAAATTCCTTCAGCTGTGCTTCTGTCCCCATTTCACACACGCAATCCCCAACTATTCATTTCCTAATTGTGTAACCCTGAGTGACTTCGCTCTGTGAGCTCCAGCCCTGCCTCTGTAAAATGAGGGTAACTCTCTCTCTGCCTTCTTCACGGGGGTGTTATTAAAAACGAATGAGGTTATGGATGTGGAAATACTTTGTAAATTAGAAACTGCTACACGTAATGCTTTTTGTTGTCATTGTCATTCGTTTTCTTGTGTTGTCATTGCTATATTTCCGATCTAAAAGGTGACCTTTAACTTATTTTGATAAGCATAACCAAGACCTAGACAGGTTTAAAACCTGATTTGCCATCACCAATATGAGCATAAGAACTTAGGACATTTAAAACTTATTATTGTGATCCATCAAAAACTTAGAATGATTTATTGAGGTCTAAAAGAAAAATAGTGCTATATTTTCTGATAACCTGTGGGCATTTCCATGATGCTGTTGAGTAAAATATGGCAAGGCAAATCAAGTTGCCTTTTTATTTTTTGGATGGCTATTGTGTGAATATTCCACTGAGAAGAAAGTTCATTATCTGAGGAAAACTGTTACTATCCTAGGGAAAAAATAAAGAGTACATCTCTTACTCAATACATATTCTTCAGAAATCTTGGTCACTGGAGGTCTGTTGTTTCTTTTAGCCTCTCCTGAGAAAATTCTTTTTTCCCCTTTCAGCAAATACTTCCTAAGCACCTGTTCTATGCCAGGCATGGTTCTGAAGGATGGAGAGAGAATACAATTATGAACAAAATAGACATGGTCCACGCCCTCCCAGAGCTCTCAGTCTGTGGGGGATAAAGGAAGTTACGAAAACCCAATACAGTCTGTCCTGTGACCATGAAAGGGGGTGCCGTGGGCCATCATCTGTTGGGTGAAGAATCTCACCATTTCTTAAATATGGTTCCGTTTAAGATGGCCCATCCCATACAGTCAGCTCTTCAGACAGCAGTCTGGATGCACACATTTAAAAATCTATTTAATGAATCTACTTTGCAGACACTAAATAAAGTCTCCTTGCCACTTTAAGAAAGAAAAACACAAGATGCCATTTTAAGCCCCGACTTTTAAAGTTGAGCACTTGGCTGCAAAGTGTGTAGAAGGTCATTTGCTTTGGCATGCTGGTGTCCCTGTCAGGGCCCACCTGTCTATTCTTGAGATTCACTACCAAAATGAACCTCTTTCTTGGCCCAATTAATTGCTCATTGGGTAGTTCTAGAACTCAAATGATTGCTAAAGAGCAGCAGATTCTTCTGTGAGGAATGGTAAACCATATTTTAAAATCAAAGATCTTCTGAACTTAGAGTACTTTTCTTCTAGAGCTGTATGTAAATCTCTGTTTCTTTTAACCCATCTCTGCATGGATTGGCAATGAAGAATACTGTTCTTGTTCTTACACATAGAAAATAAATGAAGGGATCAAGTAAACTGCTATACTTGTGGTATTTAATATTATGTAACATTCTATTGAGCGTTATATTTGGATTGAATTCAAACCTGTTCATAAATATGGGCCTAGTAGGCTGCAGATACCTTAAGAGCCTAAAGAAAGGAGGACTTCATAAAAAGTGGCTGTATTTTCTGCAATGAGGGTTCCTTGCCACCTTGTGATTCTCAGATAAAATCCTTTCCACCTAGGAAAAAAGTTCTGGCTTTGGAGCCAGACTGACCTGGGTTAAATCTCACTTCCACAATTTCCTGAATTGACATTATTTGCACAGCTAACATTCCCCGGACCCAGTAATGTCAATTCTGTAACCCCCAAAACCCTGCCTCCCCCAAACCTCAAAAACCAACAGGGGGTTTCCCCCTAACACACACACACACACACACACACACACACAAAATTTTGCAAGTTTAAAATTGAGGTTTGCTTATAAGAGTAAACTGAATGAGATGACTAATTCTTGGTTTATGACAAAGTGGTCCTTTCCAGCTTGCCAGTGGGAAGGAATGAACGCTTTCATGTAAGACATGAATACTTATCCTAAATTCATAGCCTTCCTCCACCTGACTGAATGAAAATGCGTGGCTGAAGGTGCTTTGGTGACCAATCTTGTTCCCTCTCTTCCTTCCTCTTAATAAGAGGCTGGCACGGCCTTCCCAGGTGTCCATTATGTGGTCACCTGCAGATAAGATCACCCAGAACCTTCGTCTGAATCTCAGAGTGGGAACTGGTTGACAAGAGGGCACAAATTACACACAGTCCAGATTTTTGCCTTCAACAAGCTCCATGCCATAATCTACCATGTCTCCTCTCAAGGTGCAGTTCAAGGTTTGAATTTCAACTCTCATTTAGGACCTGGTTGTTTTAATATAGCTTGCCTAACTATGCTTCTCTGTTAATTATTTTTAATGTTTTGTTAATACCTCTTCTTAGAGGAGCCAAGAGCCTCTTGCAAGACTGACTTCTGGTGTTAATTCCTTCTCCAACATCACTCTCTCACAGCTGTCATTAATTGACATTCACGTCAAAATGACAGCCCTTCTTTGGGTGTGACTTCACCTAGCATGTGATTATGTGGATTTTTTTTCCTTTTATCTTTTTTTCCATTTTAGTTCAGACTGTAAGTTCTCATTAAAGTTAAATCATAAGAATGCAAGGCTGAATTGTAAGTAGGTAAATTTTTTCTTAGGTATCTACCCTTCCCAGGTTTCTGATCCCTACTCCCCCAAAGTCATGTAAGATGCTAGTGATCCAACTAATATATAAATTCAAACACATTCACGTCAAGTGTTAAGGACCCTTTAATTTACTTCTTTTTTACTTTTAATTTAGAAGCAATTCCATATGCTTCTAAAAAGATTTCAGTTTGCACTAAGAGCTTAATTTGTCAATCTGTTATCTTTCTATGATTTATATTTTAAAATGGTGAAAAACATAGGTGGTTTTTGTTTACTACACAGGAATGTCCATCAAAGGTGGATTTTCAGGCCTCTGTAGTTGGGAACCTTCATAGTGTTGCCATTAAATAAACCACACTGTGTGGACAGCTACTTTTATTAAGCCTGATTTCTGCTAGTGTGCCTCACTTTTAATAATGGAATGCTCCTGAAACATTCTACATAAATTGTTGGAGAATAGACTTCTAGAACTGCACTGTCCCATACGGTAGCCACTGTCTACACGTGGCTACTGAGCACTCGAAATGTGGCCAGTCTGAGTTGAAATGTGCTGTAGGTATAAAATATACAGTGGATTTCCAAGGCATAGTCTGAAAAAAGGAATCTAAAATATCTCATTAATAATTTTTTTATATTGTTTGTTGAACTGACATTTTAAATATATTTAAATAAATATTTATTTATATTTATATTTAATAAAATATGTTTAAAATATATTAGATAAAATATATTGTTAAGGGGCCAGCCCAGTGATGCAGCAGTTAAGTGCACATGTTCCTTCGGCAGCCTGGTGTTCGCCGGTTGGGATCCCGGGTGCGGATATGGCAGCGCTTGGCAAGCCATGCTGTGGCAGGCGTCCCACATATAAAGTAGAAGAAAATGGGCATGGATGTTAGCTCAGGGCCGGTCTTCCTCAGTGAAAAGAGGAGGATTGGCAGCAGATGTTAGCTCAGGGTTGATCTTCCTCAAAAAAAAAAAAATATATATATATATGTATATATATTTAAATATACTGTATTGTTAAAAATAATTTCAGCTGTTTCCATTTCCTTTTTTACTGTGGCTAGCAGAAAAATTTAAATTATATATGTGGCTCTCGTTAATTTCTGTTTAACAGGGCTGATCTATGGGGTTAAAGATCCTCTAATCCAAAACCAAATAGAATTCAGAGAAATGAAGGACCCTGCTTTAAGTCACAAGCATCTTAGCATAGTAGTAAAGCTTGAGACTAGAAGTTCCACGCAAATCTTAAGACTATTGCCCTTCTCAGTGATACCAGCTTTTTGTGACTCTAATACTTTAATTGTAAGAGGAAATGTCTGTCCTTCAGAATTCTTCACTGAACCCTTTAGTTAGAGCAAAGACTCTTCCTATAGTGCAAGTAAAACTTGCTTTTACTTTGTTTTATAAATTTGAAATTTCAGTTATTAGCTTTTCTTAAAATGGAGGTAGTTTTCCTTATGACCTTGCAAACAGAACATATAAGGCAGTGGAAATACTTTTTAAATAGATCCAGTAAATACCGTACTAGAGTTTTCAATCTCATTGCACTCTTATAATACAGATACGTCATAAATTTCAAGTCCTTATGGGTTTGCTCTAGGGTTAACACTATCATGTTAGCATCTAACTGGGGAATAATGCTGGTAAGAGTGAGACCTCCAGGCTGTATATTTCCTTGGTAAACTGCTAGGCAACTAGTTATTTTCTCTTGCTAAGCTTTAATACTCTCTGTGTTAGTATTGTGCGAACAGCCTTTATTTGAGCTAACAAATTGCTCATGTGTAGAAAAGTCATCCTGAGTTCAGTTTTTAAGAGCAATATAGTATGGTGTTCTACAGTGTACAGACTGTGACCTTGGACCAGTTATTTAATGTCTGTGCCTCACTTTCTTCGTCCATACATTAGGACATACATGCTACCACTTACCTGTAGGGTGGTTGTACAGATTTGGATGACATGTATGTAAAGCATATATATATGGCATAATATTCCATAGAATCCCGTAGGATCAAATTTATCCAAATCCAAGTAAAAGATAAAAGAGCAAGTGTTTGTTCTTATTTTTAAAATATTTTTAGCTCCTCCCTGGCTTCCCAGAAATCCTCCACCACTGAAGTAAGAGTTCTTGGTCAAATCTGGTTATAAAGACATCTTATTTTCTGTAAATATATAAAAATTCATAATTATTATCTGAGAGATATCACAATCTTTACAACACATAGCTGGAGATATTCTCATTACAAGTATAATATCCATAAAATATCACATTTATGAAATAAAACATGAACAGATGAGACTATGTTAAAAAGCTCATCCAAATGGTACTTGTTTTTTTCCAATTGCGTCAAAAAGAATAAAATACCAGAAATAAATTTAACCAAGTAAGTGAAAGACCTGTACACTGAAAACTATAAGACATTGATGAAGACAGTGAAGAAGACACAAATAAATAGAAAGATAGTCTGTGCTTATGGATTGGAAGCACTAATGTTGTTAAAATGTCCACAATACCCAAAGCAATCTCTAGAAGCATTAACATTGTTAAAATGTCGATAGTACCCAAAGAAATCTATAGATTCAATGCAGTCTCTATCAAAATTCCAATGGCATTTTTCACAGAAATAGAAAAAACAATCCTAAAATTCATATGGAACCACAAAAGACCCTGAATAGCCAAAGCAATCCTGAGAAAGAAGAACAAAGCCGGAGGCATCACATCCCCTGATTTCAAACAATATTACAAAACTGTAATAAATAATCAAAATAGCGTTATTGCTATAAAAATACACATAAACCAATGGAACAGAATAGAGAGCTCGGAAATAAACCCATGCATATATGGTCAATTAATTTATGACAAAGGAGCCAAAAATATACAAATGGGGAAAGGACAGTCTCTTCAATAAATAGTGTTGGGAAAAATAGACAGTTATGTGCAAAAGAAAGAAACTGGCCACTTGTCTTATACTATACACAAAAATCAAGTCAAAATGGGTTAAAAACTTGAATGTAAGACCTGAAACCATGAAACTCCTAGAAGAAAACATAGGCTGTAAGTTCCTTGACATTGGTCTTGGCAGTTTTTTAGATATGGCACCAAAAGCACAGACACAAAAGCAAAAATAAACAAGTGGGACTACATCAAACTAAAAAGCTGCTGCCCAGCAAAGGAAACCATTAACAAAATGAAAAGGCAACCTATTGAATGGGAGAAAATATTTGCAAACCATATATCTGATAAAGGGTTAATATCTAAAATATATAAAGAACTCATGCAACTCAATAGCAGAAAACAAACAATCTGATTTAAAAATGGGCAGAAGATTTGAATAGACATTTTTCCAAAGAAAACATACAGATGGCCAACAGAGACCATGAAAAGGTGCTCAGCATCACTAATCATCAGGGAAATGCAAATCAAAACCACAATGAGATATCACCTCACACCTGTTAGAATGGCTATTAGCAAAAGGAAAAGAGTTAAGTGTTAGTGAGAATGTGGAGAAAAGGGAACCCTTTTGCACTGTTGATGGAAATGTAAATTGGGGCAGCCACTGTGGAAAACAGTATGGAGGTTCCTCACAAAATTAAATGTAGAACTACCATGAGATCTAGCAATTCCACTTTCCAGTATTTATCTGAAGAAAATGAAACACTAGCTTGAAAAGATATATGCACCCCCATGTTCATTGCAGCATTATTTATAATAGTTAAGACATGGAAACAATTTAAGTGTCTATTTATGGATGAATGGTTAAAGAAAATGTTATACAGATAATTCACCCATAAAAAAAGAAGGAAACCTTGCCATTTGTGACAACATGGATGAACCTTGAGGACATTATGCTAAGTGCAATAAGTCAGACAGAGAAAGATAAATACTGTATGATCTCACTTATATGTGGAATCTACGAAAAAAAAAAAAAAAAACTGAACTCACAGATACAGAGAACAGATTGGGGTTGCCAGAGGCCGGGGTGGGTGGTGGGAGAAATAGGTGAAGGTGGTCGAAAGTTACAAACTTTCCATTGTAAAATAAATAAGTCCATGTGATGTAATGTACAGCTTGGTGACTATAGTTAATAATACTTGATTGTATATTAGAAAGTTGCTAAGAGAATAAATCTTAAAAGTTCTTATCACAAGAAAAATAAAGTTTTCTGCAAATACGTGTGGTGATGGATGATAACTAGACATTGTGGTGATCATTTCACAATATTCAAATATTGAATCATTACATTATATACTTTGAACCAATATGTCAATTATATCTCAATAAGAAAAAAGGCACTAGACATGCCAATTTCTCTCCTATCTCAGTGGTCATTACTTATTTGTCTATTTTAATGGTCTATTCTCAAAAAAACCCCAGCCCATCCAAATAGTAGGTGGGTGTTTTTTTCCCAATTGGCTTTTCAAAATCATGGTGAAATTTTGATAATCTTTAGTTATGGTTTGGTAACTATACCGGATGCTATTATAACACTGAATTGAATTTTAAAACTTGACATGTATTGAGAGAGTATTGAAACAAATAATTTGCAATTAATAATTATTTCCAGATTTCAAATATTTTAACCTTAACTATGGCAATTGAGTCACATAAGTTTACTCTAGAGGTTTTTCACTTAAAAAATATATATTTGATCACATGCGCAGTCAAAATTCATTATCTTGCTCCCCTTCACGCCCACCACCCATCCCGTTTCTTCTCATTGCCTGCTGTTCCTTCCTTATAACACTCCCCACAGTTGGATTCCTTGTGCTTTGCCCAATTTCCCCTCTGTACTATGATCTCCACCAAAGCAGCACCATGACTATTTATTCCCCACTCTGTCTGGTGCCAAGCATTATGGCAGACATTGAGTTCCTATAGGAATCCCCACTCTGTCTGGTGCCAAGCATTATGGCAGACATTGAGTTCCTATAGGAACTCAAATATTTTTTTGAATAGATGAATGCAGTTGACCTTCTGGTTCCTAATTCATTTCTTTCCTCTGTATCATACTGTCTTAGCCATTCTTATAATTACAATGCATATTTTTTAACTGCAGAAATGAAGGTCATTATTTATACCCGTTTGGCCAAATTTCTTAAAGTGATTTGGTTTGTTTACATGTAGTTAGAAAATTCTTAAAATGTTTTTAGTTGACAGTCATCTTTTGATATGTTTGAGCCAATATGAATTAAGCCAATGAGGAATTTTTTAACTTATTACTAAATGAGGAGAGGAATTCTTAAAAGTTTTTGAACCCATGATATACTATCTGGCATATCATTTTTTTTAATTATAATTTTTAACACTTATTATTAATTGACTAAATTATTGAAGCCTCTTTCAGCTTGACTAGTTTCTGTGTCAGTTATTTATCTACAGTAACTTTAACTGAATTTAATAGAATCTGTTATGCCACTAAATGTATCAAAATACACTTTATGGGCAATCAGTGTTTCAGTTTGCTGTCTCAAAGTAAAATGACATAGAATTACTGTTTTCAAAAAGAGAACACATTTTAGCAACTTTAATGCATTCCAGTGAATTTGGTAATTGGGTTGAAATTACACAAATGTGTGGTTTCACTGCAGGAAGTCTCCAGTTCCTACACCAACAGTTGGTCTGGTGTCCAAAATGTTCACAGTTTGGTTAAAATTATGCTCACTACCAAATGTGGTACTTCCACCAAGGAAGATGGTGGTCTCAGAAATGACAACAGAGGATATGCTGAATAAAGCTTACTGTTACTGAAATGTTTGTTAGAAGAAGTTATTTCTCTGAGCATTGTTAAAGGAAGAAAAAGAAGTTTATGAAATCTTGACTGGAATGCTGCCTTGATCCATACCACTTGGGTTTGGAAACCAGGAAATCATTATAAAAATTGTAATTGGCTCTTTTCTTATTTAGTCATCACGCTTAATGGAAAAGACAACTAGAAAGTCAAGCCTGCTTTTAGAATTATTAGGTCAATTATCAGTATTTCTGAAGGAGATTTTTTAAAAAGCTATATATACTCTGGCAATTCTGTTATGTTTTACTGCCAGCTTTATTTAAACTGCTTTCTCAATTTGCAAGGATAATAAAATAATTTCTCTTGTTCTTTGAAAAACTGTATGCCAAATTCTTACAATGATGTTAGCCTGCCTGTTATTTAAGTTATGATTAGATTTTTTATGTTACTTGGATTTCTTAGAATAAAGTATTTCCCTTATGCTGAAATTTAGGCTAATACTGCATGTGGTAGACTTAACTGACTTTTTCAAATTTCATGATAGTTGTCAAGGAATAATAACTAAGGTTTACTGAGTACTTACCGTGTTCCAGGAAGTGTATTAAGGAGCTTTACCAGTGTTATCTCCTTCAGTCATCACAATGATGTTCTAAGTAGGTTTACTTACTCCCACTTTACAGATGAGGAAACTGAGGCATATGAAGATTAAGTAACTAAGGTAACATAAGGTAACTTTTCCAAGATCGCATAGTTTGGGAGCCCTCAACCAGTGTGTTTATATTATCTTTTCTACATTTCAACACAATTCACTGCAAAAGCATTTGTGGGGGTGTGCACATATAAGTTCATCCAGAATAAAATTAAGGAATGTGGCCAAGAGGAAGGCCACCAACCAGGGACTATGGTCTCAGTGGATTATGAGGGGTCTTCTGAAGGAAGGGTAAAGGATAACAGCTCAACACTGTTGAGTAACTTCATTGCTCAACACTGCAATATTCATTCATGCAGTTGCACTTGTTGAGTGTCTACTGTGTGCCAGGTGTTCCACTACATACTGCTCATAGAATACTCATAGAATTGACTGGACAGGAACTCTGCCTCATGGAACTTACATTTTAGGAGGAGACACAGACCAAAAACTAATCTAAAATAAAAATAGGCAGACAGATAAAACTATGTCAGGCCATGATAAATATAGTGAAGGAGATAACCTATGGAGTGAGATAGAGAACAAGTGGATGGGGAATCTACTTTAAGATGGGATGGACAGAGCAGGCCTCTCTGAGGAAGTGGTATTGAAGATGAGACTTAAAGAGTTACGAGGATGTGCTTAGAGTGAAGCAAGGAGTGTTAGATAGAAGTGGGGAGCAAAGGCAAATTGAAATATGATACCTTTTTCACATTCGGACTGGGAAAGATGAAAAAGCCTTTAGTTGTGGTGTGGGCAAAAGAAAACCCTCACACCCAGTAATAAGTCTATACAACTACTCTAGAGAGCAATCTGGCAATATCTAGCAAAGGTGAAGATAATTCTGTATATATACTCTAGAACAGTTTTTTTTTTTTTTAAAGATTGGCACCTGAGCTAACATCTGTTGCCAATCTTCTTGTTCTCTTTTTTTTTGCTGTCTTCTTCTCCCCAACGCCCCCCAGTACATAGTTGTATATTCTAGTTGCAGGTCCTTCCAGTTGTGCTATGTGGGACACTGCCTCAGCATGGCTTGATGAGCGGTGCCATGTCCCTAGGATCTGAATTGGCAAAACCTTGGGCCGCCAAAGCAGAGCGTGCGAACTTAACCACTTGGCCATGGGGCCAGCCCTAGAGCAGTTATTCTTTAAAGGAGTCTTAACAACAATGTACCCCCATACACATTTTTAAGATGTCATAAAAATTTTCTATTATAACTTTAATAGTTGCAAAAGACTGAATTTCCCATGTATTATAAATATTGATATTTAAACATAAAACTATTATATCATTCTTTCAAATATATCCAATGAAATTGAGATCCCATAGCAATTTGATACATGACATCATTAAAAAAACACATGAACAAGCTAACAATCAGAAATTTTACATCATTTCTTTTTCTACCTGAACGCAGATTTCCATCCACTTCCCTCAAAGAATTTTATCCTTTATCTGGAAAGTCTTTTATGGATCACCATACCATATTTCTTGGCAACAAAAAATATTGATATAAATTAATTTTTTAAAAAAAATATATTTACTATGACGATAAGGCCAAATGTTAGAAAATTTCTTCAGCATTATTATTTTAATTATTAGTAGTATATAATCAATCAAAACAACATAAATATATTAAAATTTTTTAAATTATTAGATGTGAAAAGTAAATCTTTTTGGAAGGGCGTCTCAATGAGATGGAAGAGCTTGATTTTTTTCCTTCAATTAGTTCATGAATCTGAGGATACTTATTACTAGAATGAAGCTGACAGTAAAATGAAGAGAAGGAATTGGGCCACTAATAATTACAGGGTAGGAGGGGCCTTACAAAGGTGTGTTAGTGCTTTTTAGGTACATTATATGTAGTAGACTCTACAATATTTCTTTCAAGTTTATGTAAATATTTTAGGTTAAATGAAATTTAAAAATGAATATGGATTTATGATATTCAAAAATATGTCAGCAAAAGAATGAAAATGTTTCTTTTATGAGTCTGATTAAGTGTTTTAGAAAATAATAAACACTAACTATGACCAATATGTATTCTTTTTATTTGAAGATGTAGCTTTTTTCTGTTAAAAGTAAAGGTGAAATTTTCACCACGAACCTACTTTTTGTCTCAATAGATTTGCCTATGCTGAATATTTCATATAAGTAGAATCATATGATATGGTCTTTTGTGACTGGCTTCTTTCACTTAGCGTAATGTTTTCAAGGGCCATCCACGTTGAAGCATGTATCAGTACTTCATTCCTTTTTATTCCTCTATTTGCTAAATAATATTCCATTGTGTGAATATAACACATTCTGTTTACCCATTCATCAGTTGATGGACATGTGGGTTGTTTCTACCTTGTGGTTATTGTGAATAATGCTGCTATAAAAATTTATATTCAAGTACTTTTTTTGAAAGCTTGTTTTTAATTCTTTTGAGTACATACCTAGCAGTAGAATTGCTGAGTCTTACAATAACTCGGTTTAACCATTTGAGAAACTGCCAGGCTGTTTTCCAAAGGGGCTGCACCATTTTACATTCCCAGCAGCAGTGTGTGACGGTTCCAATTTCTCTACCTCCTAGCCAGCAGTTGTTATTTTCTGACTTTTTTATTATAGCCATCCTAATGGGTGTGAAGTAGCTCCTTGTGGGTATCTCATGGTTTTGACTTGCATTTCCTTCATGAGTGATGATGTCAAGCATCTTTCTATGTGCTTATTGTCCATTTGCATGCCTGCTTTGGAGGAATGTCTATTTAAATCCTTTGACTATTCTTTAAATGAGTTGTCTTTTTATTATTGAGTTATAATAGTTTTTTATATATTCTAGATGCAAGTCCCTTATCAGCTATATGATTTGCAAATATTTTCTCCCATTTTGCAGACTGCCTTTTCACTTTCTTGATAGTGTCCTTTGCAGCATACAAATTTATAATTTTGATGAGGTCTAATCTATTTTTTGTCATTGTTGCTTATGCTTTGGTGTCATATCTAAGAATCCACTGCCAAATTTGAGGCCATACAGATTTACCCCTGTGTTTTCTTCTCAGAGTTTTATGGTTTAGCTCTTATAGGACTTTGGTACATTTCGAGTTCATTATATGATGTGATATAAGGATCTAGTTTCCTTTGGTATGTGACTATCAAGTTGTCCCGGAACCATTTGTTGAAAAGACTGTTCTTTCCTCATTGAATGGTCTTGGCACTCTTGTCAAAAATCAGTTGATCCTAGACACATAGGTTTATTTCTGGACTTTCAGTTGTATTCCATTGAATAATATGTCTACCCTTATGCCAGTACCACAGTGTCTTGATTACTGTTGCTTTGTAGTAAGTTTTGAAATCAGAAAGTGTGAGTCCTCCAATGTTGTTCATCTTTTTCAAGATTGTTTTGACAAGTCTGAGTGCCTGGCAATTCCATATGAATTTTAGGAGCAGCTTGTCAATTTCTACAAAGAAATCACCTGGGATTCTGATAGGGATTGCATTGGTTCTATAGAAGAATTTGCAAAGTGTTGCCATCTTAATAATACCATCTTCTGATTCATGAACATGGGATTTTTTCCATTTACTTAGATTTTCAGAGTATAAGTTTTATACTTTTTTGTTAAATTTATTCCTAAATATTTTATTCTTTTTGATGCTATTGTAAATGGACTTATTTTCTTAGTTTCATTTTGGGGTTATTTATTGCAAGTGTGTAGAAATACAATTGATTTTTGTATATAGATCTTGTATCCTGCAGCTTGCTGAACTTATTAGTTCTAATAGTATTTTGATGTATTTCTTAGATTTTTCTATATACATGATCATGTCATCCTCACATTGAGATAGCTTTACTTCTTTGTTGCCAATCGATGCTATTTTTTATTTATTTATTTTTTGATTTATTATTGATTGATTGATCACCTCATTGCCCTGGCTAGAACCTCTAGTAACATGTTGAATAAAAGGAGCAAAAGTGGACATCCTTATCTTGTTCCCAGTCTTAGAGGGAAAGTGTCTAGTCTTTCACCAATGTTACCTTGGTTTTTCTGTAGATATCCTTTATCAGGTTGAGGAAGTTCCCTTCAATTCCTAATTTGTTAAGAGTATTTTCATCATGAAAGAGTATTGAATTTTTTCAAGTGTTTTTTTCCTGAGACTATTGAGATGATAATGTGGCTTTTATTTTTTATTTATTGATGTGTTGTATTACGTTAATTGATTTTCCTTAAACTCATGTAAACTATACTAGGGGACAGTACAAAGCTCATGCTACAAAAAAGCATATTGTCTGTACAAATATCTTTTCAAAAACAAATTAGCTTTTTGAGTTGCAAAATAGAAAACTGAAGGAATAGCATCAATTGGGTAAATTTTTGTGCAAGTGAAAATATTTTTGTTTTCCTCTCAGTGATTGTCTACGCAGAATTTTAAAATTATTTTTAAACTTGTGATTTGCTTTACTTTTTCTAGTTGATGATCCTGATAATTTTTATATCTTCTGAAGCAATCACCATGAAGTTTCTATTTTGAGCTACATCACTTTAATCAATTTTTGTTTAGGTTTTAGTTCAAAGCAATTAAATAAATAGGAAATAAAATACACTCACGGGCTTTTTAAAAATCAGCTGTACACTTTGAGCATGAAAGCACCACTTTTATTTCTGCTCCTTTGGGCATAAATAGTGATGATGTACTTCCCCTTTTTTCCTACATTTAAGGCTCCACCCAGAAGTTTGCAACTATATTGAGACCCGGAAATGTTCTCATTCTCTTTTCTTGCCTGTGATATAATCTCTTAGCATAGTTGGTTCAAGAATCATGTTAAGTAGACCCAGATCATGTGTTTGAGCCTGTTAAAGGCAAAGTATCCTCTCTGTTTTCTGAGAACAGGTTGCAGCCCAGGTTCCAGTCACCTGGCACCTTATTGCCCTTGCTCACCAAGTGCCATAGGCTAGAGAATGTGGACAGTTGAATGCAGTCGGTCCCTGTCACTGGACGGTTGGCCACAGAGGGCTTGTCTCAGGAAAAGTCATCTTCATTGAACAAAGGGCAGTATGTGGTTGCTTGAAGTTCTTAAGTTTAACTGGAATATATTTGGCTAAGGTAAAAAGGTTATTTAAAAAAATATATTATTCAGACATCACAACAGTGTTTTTAGGGATTAAAATAGTCTGAACAGTCTGTAATTTCAGGGTTTCTAAGATCCACATAGAATTAGCATGTGCAGCTGGATATAAAAATGACACAAAATACGACACCTCATGTTTTTTCCCTTTTTTCCCCCCAAAATCAGTGTCTTCCACAGTCCATGTGCTTTTGTTTGCTTGTTTTGTTTTGAAATAAAAAGAAAGTAGTGTCACTAGAAAAGTATTCTACAACCCTTTCTGAAGAAGATACTTTTGCTCTTTAGAAACGATTATACCACATTACTAAGGCATGAAGTGAAGTTTCTTTAGACTGTGTCAGATTTAGAGGCAGCATAGAATAGTGGCTAAAAGTGCAATTCCAGAGTTAGACTGAATTCTCTGTGTTTCAGTACTCCCCATCTGATAAGTAGAGATGAAAATAGTACCTATATTATACAGGAGAAATTAAATGAGATAACATAGGTTAGAACAGTGACTGGTAAATAAGTGCTCATTAAATGTGAACTGATATCTGTGGTAGCAAACATAGGTATTTAATAAAATTAGAATCAGTAATGATTAATATAATTTACTTATTAGTATATATCAGAGCTCATTATCTAAACCCTTATTTCCACCCTCTTGAGTAGACCCTAAGTTATTTAGTTTCTTCAGAGAATTCCCATTATCAACTCACGTGTAAAGAAGGCATGGGAGAGAAAGCAGACATTCTGTTGCACTCTGAGTATAGATTCCATACATTTAAGAACCCTTTCGGAAATTACAGGTGTTTATTTTTAGGCCACTTTGGCAGTTGAAGCCATAGCAATTATTTCTAGAAGGCTAAAGGAAAATCTGTACTAGGTTCGGAAAATGGACTACTTAGAAACTAAGGTGAAATATCAGACCTTTGAAAACTAGCGCTCAGCTTACCAAGAACCACCAAGCAATCGGCTGGGTCCTAGAGAGTGTGATGTTCCTTCTTCCTCCCACCCTTTGAGAGACCTTGCTGTTCCCTGGTTCTGCCATCGTGAAAACCAGGCCAGCCCGTGGTGAAGTCACCTGGCGGCCACAAAGGAACTCTATGAAGCTCTTCGCTGTCACGTCCCACCTTCTGTTTCTGTCCGTTAGCAGATGGATTCTGCGCTTTCACTTCTGACAACCAGTCATTCCCCCCTCCACTGAATTGCTTTCTTTCATACACCTACATCTTTCTTAATCCCCTTTTCTCTACCAGATTTTGCCACGAACTCCAGGAAAATTCTGTGTGTCATCTTGCCATTTATAGAATTAAAACAAAAAATCTTGAAGAACACAACTGTCCAGATTTCCTAGAGACATTTCTCATAATAGAAACTCCACAACTTGAAAGTGCTCCGAAGTACTGTTCTTTACCAGAGTTCAGCTCCTATGACTAAATTTGCTTTTTTCAATCACTGATATTCAAGATAATTTTAATGTTTAATGGTTAATTTAATTTGTTACTCTGATCATAATACTATTATTATAATAATTTTCCTATATATATTTGTAGCAAATATGTAGGATTTCATCTCTATTGTGGAGTCATTGACCTGAGAAAATACATTGAGTTCTTAATAATTATATCTGTGGTTTTTAGGCCATAACTTGTTAGAACATTGGCACATTTCTGTATTTTTATTTGACTCCTAACTGTTTGTTTGTTATCAAGAGCAGTGTGAAGTTAAGTATTCTTCCAAGATAGGAATCCTTTTCATAACGTTTGGAGTACCTTCTGAGCTATGAGTTTCTTCTCAGGATATACACCCATCAGTCGATACTTTCTTTCTATAGTTATTATTTATATTGATTGGTGTTATTTCCTTAAGAATTTTTACTAGTGCAGAATATTGGAGTCTGAGTCTACTTGGAATCAGAGAACTTTAAAGCTGGATCATCAGGTCCAATCATCTCATATTTCAGAGGAGTTCATTGAAAACAGAAAGGTTAAATGATTTGCTTAACGTCGCATCATAAGCTAGAGGCAGGAGTCATTGGAACTTGGATTTAGTGCTCTTTCTACTAAGTCTTGCAGATTAATTTTCAACTTGATGTACAAGTAACAGTATATATTCTGATGATTACCTTCCTTCTCCCTAAAAACTTAGAAATCTTGAAAAAGGGTAACTCTGAGAATTGATTATACATTAGTCAACTTCTGTTGTTAATCTGAAAGCATTTTTAAGCCTCACTGTGTCTTTTCCTTTGAGCAATTCCAAGGGCATGTACATAAAGTTTGTTACTCTATTGAGACGTTTAAATTTTTTAATTAAATAAAATTTTAAAAATTTATTAAGATATGTGAATTTTAAATTTTCCTCTCATGATTCTTTTGGATATGATTGTGACTTCTCATTTTTAATCATTTCTTAGCATTGTTTACTCTCTATTTTGTTGGGTAGACTTCTCCCAAGAGCAGGTAATTGTGCCCTTACGATTACACACAAAAGAATTACAGTGGAGCGTTACATTGTGCATGGAAGGTCTGAGAGATTATGGAGCTGTTTCAAGCAGGACTGAAATGCCATCAATTATACTCAGATTTTAATTCATAAAATATTCAATTGGCAAGCCTTACTTTAATTATGACTTTTAAAGCCAAGCAATGTCTGATTATAAAAGTGTACAACTTTATTGTACCTAAACAAATTGATAACACAAAATAAGCAGGAACCATAGTTTGTTTCCTGCAGGCTTTTGCCAACTTGCTTCCACATACTTAAGTATCCTGTATTCCTATATTTATTGAATCCTGACAATCCCTTTGGAATTATTTCCTAGGTTTTCGATCTAGTTGATTTTACTCCAGCTTTAAAATATTGTCCTACAATAGCCAAATGGTGGAAACAACTCAAATGTCTACCAACAGATGAATGGATTAACAAAATATGCTATATACATACAACAGAATATTTTATTATTCAGCCTTAAAAAGGAATGAAATTCTGATAGATGATACAACATATATGGTCCCTGAAAACATTATGCCAAGTGAAATAAGCCAGACACTGAAGGACAAACATTGTATGATTGCATTGATATGAGGTACCTAGAACAGGCAAATTGATAGAAAGTATAAAGATAGAGGTTACCAGGGGCTGGGGGAAGGGAGGAATAGAGTTGTTTAATGTGTACAGAGTTTCTAATTGGGATGATGAAAAAATTCTAGAGATGGATGGTGGTGATAGCTGCACAACATTGTGAATGGACTTAATGCCACTGAACTATACACTTAAAAATGGTTAGGATGAGAAATTTTATGTTGTGTATATTTTACCACAATAAAAAAATAACCTGAGTTAGCCATAAAATGAAATCATAGCACTCTCTTTTTGGGCTCTGAGTGCGCACCAAGAAGAGACTCTGCCTCTCGCCATTCCGAACAGCCCCTTCATTCTCACACTGGGGTGGAGAAAACACAGCTGTATTTACTTTTCCAACCTCATCTTCTATTTTGAAGTACAACCTTTTTGCAAATGAGAGCCAAGGTCGAGTGACACAGCTTTCTGCCCACCTTTTCAGTTTGCCAAATGGTGTTTTTCTAGTGGAGTTCTGGGTTAGGTGCAGCAAGTGTGGGTCACACCATCACTCATAGGCCCTCTGGGTGGAATTTAATTGGCCCACCTTCATAATTTCTGTGCTCAGTGTGGTGTGATGCATTTCCTTTCACTTTCATCTGTGTATGAAAACGTACAGTTGTGTATTCACCAAGTATGGTATTTTTAAGTGTGGACTATTCCACACATCAAATTCAAATTACAAAGAAAATAAGGCTTCTCTTATCCAATATTTTCTCATTTCTTAAAGAATTATTTGTTTCCTGAGATTAGAAACATGTTTTTATGTAGGGTGAACATGAGGTCCTACCGATAATTGTCTTTGAATTCTGCCTCTGGACATGACAATTCTAACTACATACTGAAAATTCTATATTTATGTTTTTGCATAATAATAGTGGAAACAATGACAATATAAACTTTTCAGTATCAATTAAGAGCAGCAAAACAGATTAGCTTTCTGTCTTCAAACAACCACCTTAACATGAAATAATTACATTTTTATTGTTTATAATAATATCTAAATATTTGTTCTTAAAAATATATATTATACTTAGGTTATGAATTTGTCAAATGTTCATTCCATCAAAGCACATGCCAAAAAAAACAGCATGTAGCTACAACTTAGTATTTTTAGATTTACTTTCTTTTTGTATTTCCCGCTAGTATCTTATGCTATTTATTTCCATTTAATCAATATTTTATAAGTGATGTCTATCTAATTATGTAAAAACAAATGAGTATAATGTATTTATATTTTCTTACCAGCTTTAAAAATAGAAAGTATTCCATTTCCTTTCTTATTGTATATACAGACGGTTGAAGTACTTTATTGTTTTACAAAATGAAAATCATTCATTTGAATGAAATTAATATTCAGTGTGCTGAGGAGATGTGCAAGATCACTTTTCATTGTTTTCCTTTGAAATTATCTGGAAAAAATATGATTGTGTTGCATTGCATTCTGAATAAGTTGAATAGATATTTAACATCAATAAAGCTATATAAATGGGAAGTTAAGTAGAATCCAGTGTGACTAATAAGGGATATCAAATTCTTCAGACCTGTGGTATACATAATAAGCTTGAAGAATTCATGCACAAAAGCCTAAGCCGTTGTGTAACCACGGCTGTGATCAGATGCTGTGGTTTTCTGAGCTGTTACATACTGTATCGAGCTTGGCACGTCTAACCTGGAGATAGGATGCTGAGTTGAAGCGGTGCTTTAAACCCTGTTCCTACAGTGGCATAGTCTGCATTTTTGGACCTTCATCTTCCACCTCAGACAACACTTGTCCATAGGGAAATTGCTAAACTTAAGTCCTTTAAAAAAAATACAACCAGAAAAGTAAGCTTTAAAATTATTTCCCTTGATGTTGGCCTTTACATCAGAGGGGAGCACTGGATTCTAAGTCAGGAGACCCAGAGTACAAGTCTCTGCCAATTCTTAGTGGTGTGATCTTAGATAGTCACTAAACTTTAAGCCTCAGAAGGTGAGAATAGAAACAATGGTTTCCCTATCAAATTTAGGGGGTTGTGAGGCTCAAATGAAATAGTGTATGTGAAACCACTTCGAAAACTGCGTAAAGCACTAAACAAATGTTGTCATTTTTCCAAGATTTTGATTAGAACTTTTCTGATCCCACAGATTAAAATGAATTACGAAACCATTAAAATCATACCAGTAAGTTGTTTCATGGAGTACTGTAGGGCATGTACGTTTTAAAAACCATTAGTTTATTATATTTTTAATTTCCAGGTCATTTAATATCTGCATGACTTTGTTGTTTTTGTTTGTTTGTTTTGGTGTGGTTAATATGCCTCTGTTTTTCGGTGTAAATGTTATTGCTTTGGGAAGTAGAAATTGGCTGGGTTTTAATGTTGTAATAAAGGGCATCCCTTTTCCTCACCTGCATCCTGGGCCAATGGAGCGATAAGACCAAAGAGCCAGCAAACAGAGAAACAAGATGATTCGCTTTTGACTAATACAGCCTAGGTTGGAGGAGGCAGCTTAGTGTAGTAGCTAAAAAGGACTTCCACACTCCCAATAAGACCAATAAGGTCACCTGTGTCTACACCTGTGGGAAAGTTTAAGTCAGCACAGCAGACACTCTGACTCTGGCTATTTGTCTCCCTTGGTCCAAGTAGAGAGAGAAGGAGAAAGAGACTCTCCCCAGGCCTCAGGACCTTGGATGGTTTAGCTCCTTCCATCTAGAAACATGGACCTATGGCTGTCATCGACCAACCAGGTCACTCAGTCTACCTTCTTGGGGAGGAATAGCGGGGGGGCAGAAGGCCAAGGTACTTAGAGAAAAATCCCTTTTTATGGAAACCAGAGAAGTAAGAAAGAGGCTTTTCTCTTTAAGAGAGGTGGACAGAAGTTAAATAGAATTTATCTACCCATTCCCTCTCCTACCCTCCTATTGATCTCGGAGGCTTTCCTCCCCTTCCAGTGCTTACCTAGTCCTCCCACCTTGTTTCTGGGCTGTCCCCCATAGCCCTGCTCCCAAGCATAGGCTACACTGCAGCTCCTTGAGACTGGACCACATTTGGAGTTATGGAGAAATACTGGTTCCTGGGAGAGAAGAGCTGTGAAAGGCAGGTTCATGCTCTCAGGGGAACGTGTCTCCCCAAAATTCATATGTTGAAACCTACTCCCCAGTGTGAGGGTATTTGGAGGTGGGCTTTTGGGAGGTGGTTAGGTCATGGAGGGGAGCCCACATGGAAGGGATTAGTGCCCTTAAAAAGAGGCCCCAGAGTGATCCTGGGCCTGCCATGTGATGTTATAGCCAAAACAAGGCAGTCTATAAACCAGGAAGCAGCCCCTCACCAGACACTGAGTTTGCTGGCGCCTTGATCTTGGACTTGCCAGCCTCCAAAACCGTGAGAAATAAATTACTGTTGTTTATAAGCCACTCAGTCTATGGCAGTTTGTAGTAGCAGTCTGAACAGACAGTTGATTAAGGGGAATTTGGAGTAGATAAGGTTAGCTTCTTCCTCTCTCTCCGTGACAGGAGGGTGGGTGTATGGTAAAAATATTTCCCAGTTTCATCTACATTTGAGCAGGACCTCATTGAACTTCCATTGGGAGACATATTTGTGAAGTTGTTCATTTGGCAAGTCAAGAGCAACCCCTCCCATTCTTGAGGAAATAGATGTAGCTGGGGTCTCAAACTACTTTTAAGTTCTATCTGTATTTAATACCATCCATAGTTCACCATGTTGGTGATAATGTGAAAAACAGTTGGTAAAATCTTGTTAGGAAACAAAAAAAAAATGCAGAAATTTAGGATCAACATAATAATGCCTAGCTTATTCTGAATAAATTTGAATATAAAATTTATGAAGAAATTTAAATTATTTAGTCATTCGGTACACATGTGTTGATCACCTATTATCAGCCAGGCATTGCTGGGATTGCTAGGGAAATGGAACTGAAAGCTATTGTCCCTGGCTTTGAGCTGCCCATAGTTTTAGGAGGGTGACACAGAATTCTTTCCAGTATGATCTATGCTGTGAGAGAGGCATACACAGGCTATTATGGCAATACACAGACAGCCACTTGACCCAGGTTTGAGGAGTTGCTTGGGGAAATCTTTCTAAAAGAGTCCTGATGTGCATCCTAAAGGCAAGATAAAGGGAGTCGAAGAAGAGAGAAAGATATCCTAATTTAGGCAAAAGTAATTGAATGAGCCAAGGCTCAGAGCTAGAGAGGCTAGCATGTTTGGATAATAGCAAATAGCTTGGTATGGATGGAGTTGAGGGAATGGTAATAAAAGAAATTGGAGGGGTAAGCAAGGCCAGTCATACCTTATGTGCTACGATAAGGAGTTTGTTCTGTTCTCCAAAGGCATCAAGGAATTTTAAGCAAGGAAGAACATATGGTTTAGCTATCACCAGTGATAGGGAGAATGTTGCGTAGGGG